TGTATTAGGAAACAGAGCTCATATGCTCTCAGGCAGAATATCTTGGGTAACATATACACAAGTTCTTTTTATTGCTGCTAGACAATTTCTGTGATATTTTTTGGGTTAATTTGTTAGCTTCTAAATTTATCCTAAGAAGAAGATTCTATGAAATATTATCTGCTCCCTGAATAAGAGATGCTATGGAAAAGTAGGGACATTTAATTGAAACATTACAAATAATAGTAAGTATGCTATCAAGGCAATTTTGCATTAAGTAATTTTTAAATTTCCCTCAACTTGTCTCATTTTGCACGTCATCATCAGTAACATTCATAGATTTTGTTTTTCACTGAGGATTAATTTGCTATTACTGGGAATTATAGTAGTAAATTGGCAAGTTCTGCCTTTCATTGAACTGTCATATTCCTACAGGTTTTGAACTGATCAATATATTGGTAAGATACTTGTAGTTAGAGTCAGCCATCTGCAAAAGTGTAAAGTACGAAAAGTGTGGGTTTAAAAACTCCTACTTTGGTCCTCTCCAATGTGCATTATTAAGTGCCTCTTTCTGTGATCCAGTCATTCTCAGACCCCACCTTATCCCAGTGTCTACAGTGTGTTTTATCTCTGTATATACCTGCAGGTGTGGTGTTAATTGCTAATGTTTATTAAACAAAAAGTAGTCATTGTCAGGGCTTCTTGCATTGTATTATGGGCCGTAAAGATAGCACCAACAAAACAAAACACAGAAGTCATTACAATTCAAAGGAATGAGGTATTAACTGACAGGAACAGAAGCTGCTCCTTTGGGTCAGGGGCTACTTTAATTCAATGGGCTTTCTCTGTAATGGTAGACCAATGTATTTTGCAGTGCTAAAGTAATTCATCACATAATGCTTTTCCTTCTGAGTCATTACAACTGTCTAGTATTGATAGAAATTTGCACTTAGATTCATAACTTGTGATAAGATATGTAATAAGAAAGTTTCTTTATGAAAGGAACATTTAGTAGGTTAGGGGAGCCTATCTTCTAGCAATTCAACTTTTGAGCTTAATGAATCCTTATAACTATGCTTTAGAGAGAACTGCCCTTTAAAAAATCCCTGAAATATGGTTCATCTTTGTTAAAAAATCAGGTGTTCAACATATATTAATTGAGCCACTAATATGTACTGTTTTGCACTGGTGAACAAATAAACTCACTTCTATTTTCATTCATGCAGCTTGCATTCTAGCTAATATCTCTCAAGAAAAAAAGTAGAAATCTCCGTTGATTAATAACTGCATTTGAAAAATAATTTTATGTCCTTACATCAATTGAAATGATAATACCATATGATTGTAATCCCTGTGAGGACAAGAACCTTGTTTAAATTTTTTGGTTGTATCTAAGACATACAGCACACGATAGTCACATCACAAGAATACAATAAATATTTGTTGAATAAAGAAATTAATTAATAAATAATTTCAAATGCTGGGTTATTGTGAATGAGTTTTTAAAATTATAAAATGCTCTACAAATAAAGATATTCTTTCATGGTTGACTATATAACTGCTTAATGGTCAACCTCTCTGATCATTTAAAATCTGTCATTATGGATGATGGATAAAACATCTGGCCAAATAACTGAACTGATTAAACGTTTGGGATGAGTTAACTGGAGTCTATTTGTCAGATACAAAGCACATTGAAAAATACTTCATTCACTTAAAACTATTCAATAATGTCACTGTCCATTAAAAATAATACCAAACATTTTGAAAGTTTTTGGTGATTGCATATTATTATTCATTTGTAAGGTTTTTTTTTTTTTAACAACTTGTAATCAGATAGACAAAAAGTGTAGACTGACCATGATTACAATCCCTTTCAGGTTACCGCAGGCAAATCTAAGTCAGATGGTGGTGTTGTAGCACTGCTCTGCCTTCCTCTGGACCACTGTGATACACACCATATTCTCTGTTTATATGTATGCTATGTTTTTGGCTCACAAAGAGAGTGAATTGAAGGCAATTTAATGTAACAGATGCTGCTCTGTTCTGCACTTGTGCATGTGTTCACCAAAAAGACTCTAGAAGGGAATGACTTGCCTGAATTCTCCCACTGCTGCCAGCCTCTTCAATCTCTTGAGTGGCTTCTCTACCCTTTTTACTTATTTCTTCCAACACAATCTAAGACAGCTTCTGCTTAAGAGTTTATGATCATACTCAAATTATTTTGAATTATTTTTCAAATTTGTGAGATAATTTAGGGATGCATGTAATATTTACATGGGTATCTACCTTTCACTGGAGTCATATCTTTCTATTAGGACATTTTGTTTCAAGGAGAAAACAACACAGCAACAAAAAAACAGAAGTGAAATAGAAAGATCCTTCTGGAACAAAACAGACTCGCAAGTGCTACAAATTTCTTTTGAGCAAGTTTCTTTTGAAAAGCAGCAAAAAGATGGAATTGTTCGATTGCACATAGTTGGTTAATATATCCAGGGACTAAATGTGTCAGATTTTAGTGAGGGAAAGATAAAAATGATCAAAAAGAGTGACAGTGGAGAAATATTTCTTTCATGGATTCCATTGTCTCTGTTCCTCATCAGAAGGTCCCTTACATTAGTGTACGTACATGCAGGCAAATACTGCATTGTGAGAAGTGGATTTTTATGAAGGCTTCTCTTCTTGAAATGTGCGTATCTTTAGGAACAATTCTTGTGATGTCCTGAGTGGTTCTTCTGTCCCCACCTCTTCTTTCCCAGCATATGTTTATTCAGTATGTTTAGTGCTTTATAAAACTTTTAAATACATGCTCTGAGATTGGGAATATTTATACCTTGCAGTTACAAATACTTTACCTTTCAAATTGCTCTCACGTACTTAGACGCAAATCTACCTGGGAATCCAAATGATGCGGTAAAATACATTTACTTTTAATTGAAAATAAATCTGACTTTTCGTTTGGTGGTTAGCATTTCCCCTTTATTCCTAAACGTTTTTTCATTATTTTCTTTCTCTCATTGCACATGTTGATCTTTTTGAAAGATGAATGTTTGCCAAATCTAGTCTGAGTTGAAAGGGAAGGTGGGTCGAGGGTGGGGGGTGAAGGGGGAGAAGCTGGATACTAAAAATTCTGAACAAGAATGCTATCAACTGATTTCCAATGTAGAGGTAGGCTATATGCCTGGATAAGCAATTAAATTACAATTACACTGATTAATATTATAAATCATGCTTTGATAAAATGATTTTTTAAGACTCATGACACCTAGTCTCATTTCTATTTTTCACATGTATCTTAGGAAAAAAAACAGCAAATATGGAAGATAAGAGTTGTTTCTCCCTCTGATGTGTCCAGTTTTTACTCTGTACTGTATGCATTGCTCTAGAAACACAAACCAAATTCATAACCTTGATCATTTATTTTAAAATATAGAGAAAAACTGTAGCCTACTTTATCTGGGATATGTTTTGTAAATGCAGAGGAGAAGCTTTTTGTCTTAAAGTAATTGATTTGAATCTGTACCAGGGACCAAAACTTCCCAGTTTGGTTTGGATATCAAATAAACAATTTCAAGAATTTTAGCAGTTTAAGCCATTCATTGAAATGGTATTCCTTCACTTTCTTCCAACCTTCACTACTGCTGTTCTTTGTGATATTTATTTTACAAAGGTGTTCCATGTAACTGAGCATTTGGGTCTGCTATTGTGGTATTCCACATGGCTATTAATGAAGAGTTTTCAGAAAGGCAGATATTAAACAGCATTATCAAGTTTAAGTGCAGTGAGTTTGTATAAGAAAAATGATGCATACAATAAGATTCTGCAAGTCCTTTCAGTATCTTGTGTTCACCAATAAACTGAAGACTTGTGAGAAATATGGCTTTGCTTTATACACTCAGAGGAAATATTTAAAAGGAAATTAAACAAGAAACTAGGCGCCTCTAGGTAGTGCAAAGGAAAAACATTAAAATTTCATAACAGTTCTAGAATTTGCTCGATAAATTTACATTGGTATCAGAATACTACCCCAGACAATGAAAGTACTGTGAGACCTAAGGTTAAGTGAGAGCTTGTAAGGAAAATTATAGCTGCACAAAAACATTGTAGACTTCCAAATTTTAAAGGCATTAAACATTAAGGATAAACACGTACTTTGCTCATTTCCTTGGATTAAGTATGGTATTTTAGAAAGGTGTGCACTTTCCCCATTTTACCCATCAAATTTTAAAAACTCAAATTTCAAACTGTATGCAGTCATGAAGAATATTTGACTTGTGTTTATTTGCATGGGTTAAAGCAAGTCAAAGAACTGAATATAATTTATGAGAAATATCTAATTTGTTTGTCTGTCTACATTTAAATTGAAACAACTTAAAAGTTAAGAATCATGATATTACATCTCAGGATGTTTGTATTTCCACGTGCTGATTTAATAAGAGAAATATGAATACACTTTTCTGTTTAAAATTTTGATATTTAAGGATACTTAAAGCTGGCTTATCTAATCACTGTTATTGAATTATCATAACTACTACTCTGGGAGCTAGAATATATTTACTAGTAATTAATTTCTATTGTATTTTATTTTTAAAAGTTCTGGCTGTCATTAAGAAATAACAAGTAACCTCAATTTACAATCCATTCTTTTAATTTTTAAGAAGTAAACTTTAATAACATAATTAGAAATAATCTCAGATATAGAACTGAGACATATCATGTTAATTTAGTCACAACCTGAGACTTAATATAGATGTGTATTAAATGTGTGCCATTAAAAAAAAAAAGATCAAAGAGAATACTATATAAAATGGGTGGCAAAATTTTCAGCCTGCTACTTGAAAACTGGCTTTTATTCCCCCTAGAACTTGTAAGCCCCATGCATCACTGTTCTGTCAAATATGTGGTTATAAAATTGTGAAAATGGAGGCTTTTCTGGTAGCAAAAGGGTTAAGTTCTTTTTGCTTTACCAGTTTCAAATTACAATGAGAAGCCTCTTCTTTCCCAGCAGGGTTGTGCTTACATTACTCTTTAGATCTCTCTTGAAGAGGGCTGGTATATTTGTGCCTGCTGGAGGTGGAATTAACAGTAAGAAGGAGAAAGGGATTGAATGGACTTACAGGAAGGATTTCAAGTAAATTCAGGGAAACACATTTACTTGAATAGTACAACCTTGAGTCTTATTTTACACTAAGACGACACAAAAGATGTTAAAGTTATCACCAAGCTGCCGGACAAATATATATTACAACACCAAGGTGCAGATCAGCATAGATCTGTGATTCAGAAATCAGGATTTGTCTTGGAAAGAGCTCAAGGGTTGAGAAGAACTCAAGAGCATGTGAAGATAACTTTGGGAACTACGGTTTATCAGAAGATCAACTTTCGTTAATTCAGATACCAAAGGCCTGATTATCATAAATTCATATAGGAATGCATAGGTCATCTGATCAAATGATATTAGCCGTCTTCTGCTACATCAGTGCAGCAAAAACTCAACAATTGTGGATAATTTGAAATTTGAGTTTCAGCTTTCTTAGAAATAACTACTCTTGACACATTCCAAAATATTAAAAATAGGACAGGAAAATCAGTGAGGATGTTGTGTTCAGAAATGTCACTGTCATGAAGAATAGGTAAATTTGTTTTTTCAGCTACTGGGAAAGTGTACCTCCTAGGAACTTAGATTTTTTTTTTTTTTTAAGAGGACAAGAAGAACTAAAAATATCAACTTTTTCTTTTGGAGAAAAATGCATCTGACTGTATTTTTACTTAGGGGTATTGTGGGTTTCCTCTGGAGCTGCTGGGTTCTAGTGGGTTATGCAAAAGGAGGTTTGGGAGATAATCATGTTCACTCCAGTTTTATTTATAGAAGACTACGGAATCATGAAAGACGGGAAATACAGAGGGAAATTCTCTCTATCTTGGGTTTGCCTCACAGACCCAGACCATTTTCACCTGGAAAGCAAGCGTCTTCTGCGCCTCTTTTTATGCTGGACCTATACAATGCCATGGCCAATGAAGAAAATCCCGAAGAGTCAGAATACTCAGTGAGGGCATCTCTGGCAGGAGAGACAAGAGGGGCAAGAAAAGGATACCCAGCCTCTCCCAATGGGTATCCTCGTCGTATACAGTTATCTCGAACGAATCCTCTGACCACCCAGAGTCCTCCTCTAGCCAGCCTACATGATACCAACTTTCTGAATGATGCTGACATGGTCATGAGCTTTGTCAACTTAGGTATGTTGTTCATTTATTTGTTAATCTATGCTATTGCAAAGTGGAAGTTTTCCTAATGGTAAAGTAGCTGCTTGGTAGGTGGTCATGTTTATATAAAGTCATTTTCTATAACTCTCCTCTCTAGCTTCTGTTTCCTTTCTTTCATTGATGCAATGTAAGATTTTGCCTTAGGCAACAAAGTCCTATGTATGTATATTTAATATGAAAAGCTAAAATTAAACACTTATAGTTTGGGTGGATTTGTGTCCTTTTAGATCTTGTTAAAATCTCAACCTCGCTTAAATATATAAATAAAAAGGCAGTATTCTGAAAAAAGGGAAATTTGTGAGCATAGTTTTGCTATGGGCAAAAAAGAAAAAAAAAGAAACAAGAACTTACAGATGGGAAAATAAAAGTGACATTCATTTTTTTTGTTAGTAATTTAAAGAACATATAAGTATATATTCATATGCTACTTAAAAACTTTCTTCTAGAGGAATCAACTATGGTAAAAATATTGATATGAAATTAACTAAGATCAAATAATACTATGAGAGATTACTTATCAAAGAAACCAGAAAAGAATTCTGAAGTTCTATGAAAAATATTAAAAAAAAAAAGTTTCAACCTCACATTTCTTAACTGTAATGATTAAAATATGTCTTATCTACTTGATTTTTTTCACAGACAAGAGAAATAGAAACCATGCTATGATGGTCTTTATCTATACAAAGTTTTCCTTTTACTTGAGGTAGAATATTTAATAGAAAGTTTCTGTAAATAGCAGCATTATTATTGAGCGATTTTCAATTATTTTTAAGGAAAATAACATAGAATGTATTTTATTTTTGAAGACTAAAAATTTACCAATAAACAACTGATTGGAAAGAATTAAGAACCTTATAATGTGAGAACTTTTAAAATTTTAAAACATACAATCTGCTTTGACTTAAAACTGACATGTTTTATTATACACCTAACTAAAAACTTCCTCATATAATATCTCAAAGGAAATATTTTTTGAAAATTCAGATAGCAACAAATCTTAATAACACATGGATGCTTTTATAATATATGTTGCTTAATATGCTCTGTTCATTTGCTCTCAGCAATCCTCGCATGAAGGATAAGGTGCTTAATAAATCATATGTTTTACGTTACTAGAGACAAAGCTCTCATTATTAAGTTGTAGTAAGAAATCATTTGTTGCATTAATCAGGTGTTCTGGAGGCCTTTTCTTCTACATATAATTAACAGTTTTCATTTGGAACCTTTAAGCCATTAAAAATATAGCTTAATTCCAAATTAGTTTGATTGCTTTTTCCTACTGTAGGACATGCAAATATGGCTCATGGTACATTTTACTTTGTAGCGTTTCTAAAGTATTATTCAAGAATTTAAATTAGTTTCAATATTTTAATAGAAAAATTCCAACCCCGCTTAATTTACATATTTATAAAATAAATCACTGAAAAAATCAGTTGGGTCATCCAAAGTCTGACAGAGAAGAAAGTATTATGTTATATGCTTTAAAAAACAATAGCTCAATCATGAATTTATCCTAATAATATGTGTTAGTATAATTAAATATTTTGATCACTCACGAGAGGTGTATTTAATTTTTTAGAAAAGAATGATCTTTGAATTTGTGTGCCATTACTTTTTATAAATCTTTCTTATTCATAGAATAAGAAAGTAAAAAACAGTAATAAACAGCTTTGTGCAGTGATTTCTAGAAATTTTTTTATCATTAAGGCATACTTGTATTTTTAAGTCAATGAAATTTCTATTACATTGTTTGGATTATAACAACACAGCAGTTTATTAGTTTATTACCTATACCAAAAAATACAATTATTCTTTCACTCTAGAGACACAATATTGGATATAAGCTTTAGAAAACCTTTATTTATTTACTTATCATGCTTGACCTGCTGAGTAGTGATTTATCCTCAATAACAAACCATATCTTTTCTTTTTCATTTAACAATTCCAAACTAAATGTCTCACATGAAATTACTGACAGACTGATTCTGCTACTAGGTGACTTTCTTCTAAATAGTCTCTGAGGAAAACTGAACCACAGTTTTATTATCCTTAGACCATGCCTTCTAATATATCCAAACCTCACAACCAATCACCACTTAGTAAAAAACTTTAATGTTTTTATTTCTTCCATAAAAGAATAGGTCAAAGCATACTCAGACAAGGCAAAAGTATATTATTGTTATTAACTGCACTAAGAATTTCAGTGCATTTTAATGTAACATTCATTAACAAATATTGCTTGCAGCTTATTTCGTGTTCTTATAAGACTCAAGAGAATTTTATTTTTTTTAATATCTTAAAAGATATATATATATATATATATACATTGGGGACTAAGTGCAAATGAGTCCAATTAGCAATAGGCAAGGGATTTGTACTGAGGAAGTCACCTGGATATTTGAATATGTGAAAAGAATCTGTCGACATTTCCCTTAATAAGATGAATTATATGAAAAGGATCTAGTAACATCCTTTTTAAAAATACTTGCATGTTGTCAAGTCATATAATGAATTTTCTACCATTATCTTGTCCTTCAGAAAGACATTATTTTTCCAACATAAGTTTTGCTCATCAGGAACAATTAAACTTAATCCAAACTCAGAATCATATTTAACAAGATATCTACTTTTTAAATTTTGGGTCAGATGAGTTTTGTGTTCATAACTAAAAAATAAATTAGAATGTACTGAAAAAAAAGGCAAACAAATTGCCTCAAAGCATGAAAACATTTAAATATGAAACCAAATAAATCACTTTAAGTTTTAAATTATTTTAGTGATTTGTTCACTTTGAAAGAACAAATATAATTATTAATTGTGTGAAGAGAAACAGTTCACTCTAGTGTATTTATTATTCTTAAACCAACTTTTGTCAGTCTCTCAGTATTGAGGATTTATAGGTTGCATTTACTGTTTTTCTCTTAAACCTGTTGCGTATCAGTGGAATTTTTGCTTAATCAATACCACATTATTTTGTTTGCAACAAAAACTATTTTTCAGATAATTTTTTACTTTTTTAACCATCTCTTTTTCAAAAGTGTTAAGTGTTAGTTTACGTACTAAATATCTATGCAAATGAAAGAAATGATAAGATAATTTGTTTGTTATATTTAAGTGTATCTCCTGTTTACATAGAGATAAACAGGTAGTGTATTTCTAAGATCTTTTGGTTAGAAACCAATTTTTATTTGATTATTTAGTGATAGTGTAACTAAAATGGCATAACATTGTAGAGGTTTTAGAGGAAATTACAAAAATCAGTAAAAACAAAAAACTTACTTTTATATTATTCTTTGTATTTCTCCGAAAAAGTTGATATTTGAATTTATTGGTTGTTGCCTCACTGAGCTGGCTTGGAGTCAAACTCTTCTTAGATATATTTCAAGAATATGTATTAATTCTCAAGCATAAAAAATATTTAAATGTGATGCTATTTTTTCATATTTTATAGCAACATATTTAGTATGTTAGATATGAAAGAAAAAAATGCTTTCAAAAACTTTAAATTAAGCTCTCCTTCCCCTACTTCCCAAATCATTAAACTCTCCTGGTACTGGAAGAAAAAAATGCTTATGTCCTCAGTTGACAGATTTGAAAGACATCATTGATATTTATTGTTGCTTTTGGCTAACTCAAGTGCCCAGTGGAGAGGAATTTATATACAGATCTACCTAAAGATGCCTATCTATGTAGTCTCTCCAACAGGGTTATTAACACTTGTGTAACATAAACACACCCATAAACACATGCAAGATTTTTTTTTAAAGGGGGGATGGGTTAGAAAGAAAGACAATTTAAAACCATTATAGTACATTTTTATGGATTATGCCTGGAATAACAAATGCTAATTTGGGGGTAAAACAACAATTATTGTTCAAAACTTTTAACTTTTGAAGAGGAAGAAGTTGCTGAGTGCAGAGACCTTTCTCTTTTTTCTTCAACAGCCCTTTGTATTCATGAACGTGACCAAAGAGATTCCTGTTCTCCTTTACAGCTATATGATTGTCAGATGACTGGCATGGCTGCCAGAGATAGTTGTAATTACAGTTTAATTAAATGCTGTTCGCAGATTTTCATGGTCACTCACAAATAGCCAATTTCAAAAATTTAATAAGAAGTAACAGCTGGAAATAAGATGGTATGAACATGTAGGCTGGAAGGACTTGGGACAGCCTCAACACCACCTTCAGCCCCTCCCTTTCATTCTTCCATTTCTGTAATGTCACCTCTTCTTGCCCCCTCTCTGCCCCCTATCATTTTTTGGTCTTTCCTCTTTAGTTCTGTGGTCTCTTTACCCCTAGGCTCTCTTGGCCCCCTTGGCCTCACCACCCCCACCCTTCCTGGGGTCTGCCTTTGGTCCTAGTTACTTCAGAGCTAGTGGCTTAGATTAGTTGAAAATCAATTGGTCACAGCTTGAGAATTTAGGTACAGTCTCCTGTTTTTTCTCTAGCTGAGAAGGAAAAGGTTATGGCACCATTGGCAGCCTCCGCCCACTGGGAAAAAAGCTCCCCAGGGCATCGGAACTGCACCAGCTCTGGCTATCCTCTGTGCTTATTTCTCCTTCATTCTCTTCTTTGCCTCCTCATCCTCTCCCTGAGGATCCCATGGACTGAATTTAATTGTTTATTGCCTTTACTATTCTATAAAATAATTAAAATTTAGAAGGGGAAATTTAAAGGAAAGTAAAAGAAAAAAAAAAAAAAAAAAAAAAAAAAAAAGACAACATTGACCAAAAATAACACTAATCAAGCATGCAGCTCCTGTTTAGTTTATAAAATGCTTTTGCTTGTATTATCTTGACTTAATACTCATGTCATTTCTGTGAAGAAATTATTCCCCTTCTGTAAGTTGGGAAGAGATCGTGAGAAAGGCTAAAGATATCAAGGAAAAAGAGATGGAGGCGTAGAACAATGAGGATGAGACAGAGAAATAAAATATTTTTTAAAAAGTACTTGAAAGAAAGAAAACAAATG